ACCGACCTTAGCTATCAAGCTTATCAGACACTTACTTACATAAGTCACAAGTTTTGACCCTTGATTCTGACAATATTTGGTAAACTTTTTTAGGAGCAATTACAGAATACTAGACCACGATTTCCACCTTTCTAGAAGGCTTAGAAGAGCGAGTCATTCTCCTATATATAGATGCTTTTTTATTATTTTTAATGAAATGAGAATAGGTCAACCTGAATTCTGTAGTTGAACCCTTTCTTAATTTAATCCTACTTTTCAGATCTTTGGAATGTGTATGGCGACTGTGAGAATTTTGCTGTCCTTAAAGGTCATACCGGTGCAGTAATGGAGTTGCATTTCTCCTTGGATGGAAGGTAATTTAATTGTTCAAGCTGTTTTTATTAAGAAACGATACATTTTCAAAAATTATCAGGGCTGTACCATAGCAGTGCCCAGTTACCCCTGTTGCCTTACTTTTGTTCTTAGGCAACTAAGAAATCATTAGCTTTTTCCATGGAAATCTTGTGCTGGGCACCCTGTATTTCACAGGCTCAGAGCACTGGGCTCCTTTCAGTTTTTCGTGGAGTATAGCCTTGAAAATCCACGACAAAAAATTCCTGCATAGTTTTCTTTACTTTACCATGTATTGAAAATAAGAAAAAGCAGGGTTTGCACAGTCTTGAAAAGTCTTTGAATTTCATTTTTCCTTGAAAAGTCTTTAAATTTCTATGCAAGTACTTGAAAAGTCCTTGAATTTTCTTCAACTTTGAATGTGGTGGCCTGGAAAGTGTTTGTTAATGCTTTTTGGTTGTCCAAGACAGAATATAAGTGATTTACGTAAAGTATTGTTTGTTTTATGCAAGAATTAACTCTTAATTTAAAACAAGTGGACTGAAAAATGTAGAGAAGTTAGTGGAGGAAACAGTTTAAACCTTACAGACCTGTTAGAATGGACTGAGAATGTGCATTTTTTTACAATGTGTGAAATTACAGTGTACTTTCCTGGTAGGTGGTCCTTGAAAATCAACTGTGGTGCTTTAAAAGTCCTTGAAAAGTCCTTCAAAAATGGCTGCGAATTTATGTTAGACTTTGATAGAGAAGGGTCATTTCTGTTTTTCTTAGAGTTATTATATATGTCAGGTTGAGAAAAGACTACCCAATATCAAGTGAGAAATATGCAAGAGCATGTAGAAAGGACTGAGCATGACTTCTGGCACTCTATGATGCCACTGTGCCTTGGTCATTGGTCAAGTTGGCTTTTAAATTTGCACTCACCTTTGTCACTGTTGTTATGTTGTCTTTGCTAAATCTGCCCTTTCTATAACAGGAACGCTCTAACAGCGGCGTTCAGTCTTGCTTGCTTGGAGATTAGATCGAGAAATGTGTGGTTCCAGGAAATATCCATACCTCACCATGGAGGGAATTTCACTTAGGAGCCCCCCCCCCCACCTCCCTGGATTTTCTATATTTGTAAGGAACTGATGACCCCCACACCCTTCCCCCCCAGAAGTTTCAAAAAGTAAGACAAAGACCCCTCAAGTCGATTTTTTGTTGGCCTAACAGGGTCCTTATTCCTTTGGATTCGCATACATAATGCTTTTGGAAGAAAGAAAACCTGGTTTAGATGGAAAAACAATCATAAATGATATAGTTAAACTTATTTATGTCTCCAAAATGATCTACCAGATCAGTAAGTAGTAATTTTAGTACTGAGTTCGAAATAAACCCCTTGGAGAGTGGTTTTTATCATCCAACCTCCTCCTCTTTGGAATTTTCTGGGGCTCTGGCCACCCCACCCCCTCAGAATTTCCAATTCTCTCCATGGACGGGGTTTGGATATTTTCTGGAACCACACGATAAGGAGGCGATTAATTCTACATGAAACAGGATTTACTCGTTAAAGGTCTTTTACTTCCTACTTTATTGACGTTGAGTATTCTTCAGGATATTTACTTTTTTTGTTTCTGAATTGATTTAGTATGCGTGTTAGCGACAATCAAAACGACGTCTGCAGCCACAGGCTATACGCGTGTATAAATACAGGAAAATTTAAGGGCCTCGCCAGAGAAATTACATCATCGTCAGAGATCAAAAAAGTGATTTACATGGCACGTCCTTTCAGTCATTGCCGAAAATAAACCGCATGCTCATCACAAGACCCATTTGCATAAGGTGAAAGTTTACAACACCCGACCATTGCAGTTTTTCTAATTAAGATTCTTATTTTTTTTGACCTCTCAGTAGTGTTCACTTGTTCCAAAGTAATCAACACTTTCAATCGATAGAATTTGTGGACCGACACGTTTCGGAAAAGCTCCACTTTAATCTTTCCTACAGTTGTGTGTAAGCTTTCTCCGCAAAACATGGGTGGCTTCAGTGACGCAATGATTCTTATTCCCAGTTTCCACAGTCTCCGCTAGGAACGCCTGGCATGATGACCCCCTTTTGTGTCATAAATACGAGGAATTTAAACAGCTTGCAGATTATGAGTCTCGCTGCTTACGCAAGTGAGACTAACAAGTACACTAGTACCAAGGAACTTAGAACTTGTTTTTCAGAAATAAAACACCCAGGGGCCTGGTTCCTCGAAAGATGGTTAAGTCTAACCCAGGATTAAGCCAAATTTTAAGCACAGTGGCTGAACTTGGTAGTATTATTGTATGGCAGAGATATTTTTAGTTGGAAGGTCTCAATCAAAAAACATCCCCTCCAAAAAGGAGATAAGATGACCAGGAGATGTTTTTGCCTTGAGCCCTTCTCAGTTGGCTTTCTGTCATCAAAACATTAAGAATTTATGTAACTTTTGTTTTTTTTTTTTTTCAGTACCATGTTTACAGCTTCCACTGACAAGACTTTAGGAATCTGGGATTTTGAAACAGGAACAAGAATAAAAAAGCTAAAAGGTCATAGCTCATTTGTGAATAGCTGTTTTCCTTCAAGACGAGGCCCACAGTATATTGTTAGTGGTGCTGATGATTGCACAGTAAAGGTATTTTTAGTAGAGAAAGGCTCCTAATATTACCACATAGTCTCAAATACTCTTTTCTTGTTTATTCGCCAAAAATTAATTTTACCAATCTGCATTAAGTGTTGCCTGCATTTCAGACTTTCCCTCGACTCCCCTGAGAGGAGTATGCAACTCCAAGGAATGTCTGAAATTCAGGCTTCATGCATGTACATTAGGTGTGGTTATGTTGTAGATAAAATTGGGTCTAATGATAATTGAGAATAATAATAAAATTCTTACTTTTTTATTGTTATTATTTTACCACACAAGATAAATTAGAGTCTCAAGTAGTAGTAAAAGCATAAATAAATTGATCAATAACATTAGATTAAAATTAGTAAACAGCTGGGAAGGCGACTGTGGCGGGGAAATCTCTGAGAAGCAAACACACTTATAAGAAAATAGAGATTTCCCCCCACTGGCAATTTAAATACTGGACAGCATTCAAAGTAAAAGAGGAAAGATGTGTATAAGGATATAAGCATGTATACTGAACAAATATACATGTAGACATATAGGTAATCAGATATTTAACCTGTATCCTGTCTGCAGACCCTTAAAAATTGTTTTGTCAGTCCCTTAAATATGTTAAACATTGGGGCGTCTTGGATGTTGTTTGGAAAAGAATTCCATATTCTAGTACTTTGAAACAGGATGAAAAATTTCTTGATATTTATACTTATAATAATTATCTTCTCCTCTTTTGGGGCTTTTTAGAGATAATGAAACATTCAAATGGAACATAACAAGGTTAAGAATCCCATCTGGTAGAGGACAATCCAGTTGGCTATTTTACAATTTTGGCCAAGGATTTGAAATTGGGACTAGCAAGGACAATTTAGTGTTAATAGTAGTTTGGCTTTCTTGCTCTGGTTAGCGAAAAACCCTATCACTTAGATGGCATGTATTTCAAGCACTGAACAGATATGTTTCAGATTGAAAAGGTTTGATTCTTATTAATATTTCAGTTGTGGGATACACGTAAAAGGGGATGTGCCCAAACGTTCCAAAACATTTATCAAGTAAGTTGTGAAGATCATGTATGTACTGTACCATGCTGCTTTAAAGCTTTTTAAAAAACTTATCTAAAAATATCTAAAGCTTATCTAAAAAATGTAATTCCTGACGATTGAGAGACATGGGAACAAATTAGTCAGAAATTAATATACTGACGGCTTGTATAGAGGCACACTGGTGTTCCTGGGATGGTATCAGGCTATTTGTGGTTTTGGCATGAAACTTGTGCCATTCTACATCAGCTCAGTCCTTCTAATGGTTTTCGTTTTGTTTTGCAAGTTTTCCTTTTCTATATTTTATTTTGTTATGTCTTCAGATCTGTATGTTTTGAAATAATGTTTCTTATTTCAGTATATAGTTTACGAATTTAGCTATTTAGACCCGCGTCCTTTTCCATTAGTATAATTTTGGAGTAGTCTATGTAACATTGTAATTTATTTTCCTTGATCCCTTTCCATGGGGTTTTACGTGCCACTGCATTAGTAGGGGAATACATTCCACACAGAATTTCCGCACCTTTTTTGTGGTCACTTCTCTAAGGTGGTTTTTAGTGGTTTTTCGTATCTGGCATGGTACACGTTCTAGCTTAGAACACTATTAGTACTTTGCTAGAAGGATATCTTTGATTTATCATCTGCATCAGATGACTGACTGACGCTTTCTAAATAAAGGTTTTCACATTGAATATCTCGTGTTAGGAATAACAGAGTCAGAATACAGCATTTTTTCTTTACATGTGTTACATTTTAATACAGGTAACAGCAGTATCATTCAATGACACAAGTGATCAGATTCTTTCTGGTGGAATTGATAATGAGATTAAGGTAATGATTCCTACTAATAATAATTAATTAATTATTATTTGCTTATAAAGCTAAGGGCCAGTTTCTCAAAAGTCCTGGCAATTTTTCAGACCCAAAGCTAAATATCAAAATCAAAATCTTAAAATTCTAAGGAGTTAGTGCACAGCCTTTCATGTGGAGATGCAGAGAGTGTGATGTTCAGGTTTGACCTCCTTGTTTTGACTTTTTATTGTCTCCATGTAACAATTAGCTTTAAATACCTGTAAAATTGAGCAGTGGTGGAGAGATGGAATAAAATGAACGTACTGCTGACCTCAGGGGTTTTAGTCTGTTGAGTACTGTTACAAGTTACCAACATAAAAATAATAAGGACCTTTTTACTACCTTTAACTTGGGTCCTAGCTAACATAGCAGTCTATTTTGTCTTGTTAGTAACTTATAGTGTTATCATATTATCTGCAAAACTACAGCAATGATTTGAATGTAAACAAAACAACTTTTTTGGTCCAGTGATTACTGGGACTTAAAGGAACAGGCCCCTGGAGAGAATTTTACTCCAAGGTTGTTTGCAGGCGCTCCTTCAAATAACATTACATTGCACCTTCCAAATTTTGGTCTTGACGACTCTTAATCAGAGTAAGAGCAAAATTTTGCTATCCACTAGTCCTTCGAACAAGCACTATATTAAATCCCAAGAGTTCTTGTACAAAAAGTTTAGCTTGAAACTCAAAAGCAATCAAGGATTTAATGTTTTTTAAAATCTCATTATTACCCTTGTAAATGTTTTTGACTTAAACCTAAAATGGAGCTCGTAAAAACAAATGAAATGACTGTGGAATGGAGAAGTTAAAAGTATTATTTAACTTTATTTTGTCAAGTATGATGTTTGCTTTTATGACCTATAAGATGAATTTTAATTCTACCGTAATTTCAAGACAATTTTCAACAGTTTCTTTATTTTTCCTAATTAAAAATGTGCTTGTCTCACGTCGGACAAGTTATGTCAAAGGTTTACATATCCTAAATAAATTTCTACCTGTCCCAGACAATCAAGCATAGGTTTTGGCACACCCTATTAATCCATGATTTCTAACAAAATGGGACTTTTCTCTTGAGGTGTGGGATCTTAGGAAAAATGATGTTTTGTATAAGATGTCTGGGCACACTGACACAGTTACTTGTCTTCGACTCAGTCCTGATGGCTCCTTCATACTTTCAAATGCAATGGACAACACAGGTTAGTATCAGTCAAATTATGAAACAAATATATTAAAAAAAAAAAAAAGACATTCCTTTTCAAAAATCATGTTACCTACATTTATCCCTAACTGTCCACTCTATAGTGGTAGATGCCTTCTTCAGAGAGACAGCAGCAATTATTAGCTGGCTTGGACCAGGTTTTACAGCTTTTTTATCGTCTCTCTTTTCTCTATTTTCCTCAAAATATAATTGTTTTGTAATTTATCAATTTGTTTTGTTTTGTGTAGTTCGTATGTGGGACATCCGTCCTTTTGCTCCCCTGGAAAGATGCCTGAAGGTGTTTACTGGTGCTCAACACAACTTTGAAAAGGTAAAGCAGCTTCTTAAGGTAGGGAAAAACAGGCAACAAAAAACATGCAACTTGTCTTGCAACATTGCCGCAAAATGAGTTGAATAGCGATGTTATGCATTTTACCATCCACGTCAAACCTGTCTTGCAACAAACCAGGTTGTTAACAGGTTTGAACGTGGGTGGTAAAGTGTGCAACATCGCTATTCAACTTGTTTTGCAGCAATGTTGCAAGAAAAGTTGCACGTTTTTTGTTGTCCGTATTTCCGTACCTTTATTCAATGCCAAACTTAAACTAAAGTCAAAACTCTTAGCCTGTGAGCGCAGACATACTTCCAGACATTATTTCTCTCCACCCAGGTGGAAAGAAGTGACTACCGGAAATACATCTGCACACGTAACCTACAACACCTCCTGTGTTTAAATAGCATCCTTTGAAATACAGTATTGATTTGTTATTCTCTTAAGTGCAGGTTTGTGTAGTGCAAGACTGTTCCAAAATCTTTTGTTCTCAGTGCAAACTGTATCGGCTACAGAGGAGTGTATATATGCATACAGCTTCTTAGCACATTCGCAAACGAATACAGCAGTGCTGATGCTAAAAACGTTTAGTTTAATTACTGTATTCTCTAGCAAGGGTGTCAATAAGCTTTGGCAATGATCCAAAGAAATGCATCAGCTACTTTGTACGGGAGAGGTGAGCTACTTTCCCCCCTGGAATTGAAGCTGGGAAAGAAGTATTAAATTAAAGAAAGATACAATACTTTAAGTAAAGCAGTCATAAAAGTAAAAAAAGAAACCATTCACCTTTTGACAAGACGTAACTTTTGCATGAAGTGCAGTATGCTACACACTAGTCATAGTGATTCTGTTCATATTCATTAGGACATATGCTGCATGTTCAATATACAAACTGCCATTATTTTGTAAATCAAAAGTGATCAGCATTGAAAATAAAAAATAAACAATAAAATTAGACAAAATTAAACACTGCTGTAACCTGTTGATAAGAAATCTTCCTTTAATCTTTTAACTCAAATTAGTGCCCAGAACCCTGAAAATCACATTTTAGGGCTTCCAAAAAGTTCAAAATTTTCTGGGGGCATGCCCCCAGACTCCCGTAAGAAGATGGGTTTTAAATGCTCCTTTTTGATACAGTCAGTTACCTTGTTCAAACCTGCTGGCTACTTCAGTTTTTATTGAAACCCCTGCTTAAGGTTCAGAAATCTACTTTCCATTTGTTCAATAACAATAATAGCTTCAATGATTCTTTAACCAATGGAAAACATTTTTTTTAATTTTTATCTCTTGGAATGTAGAATTTGATTAAGTGTTCTTGGTCACCTGATGGACTGATGATCTCATCAGGTTCCGCTGATAGGTAAGTGTCACAAGAAACATTTTGCCCATGGCCTCATTTCCAAAGTGAGGTTTTTGGAACTTGGAAAATGGGCCTACCAGTATTTGCGTGTCTCTGATTCTCTTGACAAATAGTTGACCTTATAGGCCTGGGCAAGTAAAAGTTTTCTTGGGGCTTACTTGATTTTTGACGCACATGTTTACTCAGAAATTTCATTTAAGAGTGTGGGCACGTTGCATTTTGTGATATTTAGCTTGACAGCTTGTTGTTAATGGAAATCCCAGCAATATGCTTCAGCCTTGCTTGGTTTTTCTGGTATTTAATAATGAATGAGAATAATAAATCATTCCCAACGATACAGATACTCATAACCCAGCTTAGTACATGTGAATATTCAACAATGTTGAACAAGGAGGAAAAATGTTGAAGGTGATGGGTGATGGTAGTCAAACTTTGTCCAACGTAGTTCAACATCATGCAAGATGAGCCCCAAATGAGTTTAACTTGTTAGAGGAAATGTTATGTAGGCATCATTGCTTTGGCTGGGGCTTTAGTCACAATAAAAGGTAGTGTGCAACAAAAATCACCCCACCTTCTTTCTCACTTAAATACTTCTTGTTGTAGGTTTGTTTATGTTTGGGATACAAACTCCAGAAGAATTTTGTACAAACTACCAGGACATGATGGATCAGTAAATGATGTTGACTTTCACCCAAATGAACTAATTTGTGAGTATATTCAAGAATTTAATTTGTAAGCAATTTATAAATTCGCAAAATTCTTGAAACTTGTAATCCTTTTATTCATTAAAAGGAAGCTTACAATCACTGTTTCAAAGAATTACTATTAACTGTGTGTTTTTTTGTTTACCTATAGTGATGTCTTGTGGAAGTGACAAGAAAATTTATCTAGGAGAGTTACAACCCTAAAAGGATGGCCTGAACATAAGAAACAGTTAACCATACTTAAGTGTTTAATAAATAACACTTGAAGCAGCTTTCTCTAGCTGTTTGTGTAGCTGCTATGTAAACTACATAAATTGGGACCCAAAAGAACTTAAGTTTCATTGAGACTTTAAATGATTATTTGGAAAAAAACATGGGTCAGAAGAAGGTTTGAAGACAGTGATGACTTCAGTTCATATGGCCGTCTGAGTCACTCCCTTGTTTGCTCAATTTGGTCAATGACATATCAATTTCTCACCCAACTGATTAACTCAGCTACAGAAGACCTAGGTTAGTAACTAAAGACCATGTGTAATAAAATACTTTTTTTATTCAAAATGTTTACACTTGTCATCACATGTTAAATTTTAAACAGTTCAGTTGGTAAACCTTTGTTATTGAATCCTGTCCATTCAGCGGGCTTATTTTAGGACAACTTTTGTACAGTGTCTGTAAATAATACTATTAAAGCTCTTTTTTCTTCGCTCTTTGCGATGCAGTACCTCCTTGCTTTTCATTGTAACAAAATACAAATAAAACACGCAATTTTAATTAACAAATTTCTTTGTCTTATAATGTTTGTTTTTTTCTAAAACTATATTCTGCCTGCAGAAATAAAAATAATAATGTCATTGGGAGGTTACCATTTTTTTTTTCCCTGCAAGTTTATGGCTACTATTATCCACTCCACAAACCACAGGTATACCAGTACTCACAAGGAACTTTAAAGGCAGAATGATTTTTGGAATTATGCGAGTAAACAATACTGGCAGTGGGTGGTTATTAGTTGCCTTTGGATACCACTGACCAGTCACATAGTTGTCCAACCAAATGATCTCAAAAATCATTGTGCCAAAATCTTATGATGTCACTCGTGTTGAGTGAATGCACAAAAGCCCTGCTCCTGCAGGACAGCTAGCTGCCAATAGGACCCACTCTGTACCAGTAATAAATTTGCTTGGATTTAAACCAGCTGTAACTATTATCAAACACCAGCTCATACTCTCCTTTATCAACCAGAACCTGAAAATAAATCAAAAATAGGACAAAAATATTATTGGCTTCACCTGTAAATGGAAACTTGTAACCCAAATTAAGATTTTGTCATTCACTCAAGTAAAAGTAAAACTACAGCCTAGGACTCTAGGGTTAAATATGGTTCATATATCAACCAGAAACATTGCTTTTGTCATTGTAACTTACCATTGTTAGCAACACCATAACCCCATTAATATAACACCCTAAGTTTGATGACATTCAAATTTATAATATTGATTTGGAATCAGACAAAGAATAAGCATGTCAAGTATCAGTAGTTACGTTTCCTGAGAGTATATCATTCACTATTTCATGGGCCACTATTAAAATTGATGGGGTTGGAGGGTGATGGGAGCTCTAACTACAGCAGTCCCTGTAAGGACCAAAGCAAGATAGATCTAATGCAAAACCCCTAACAGTGACTGTTAGTGGTCTTTGAAATACCAACCTTCCCTGTGACCGGTTCTAAATGTGAATTGAGCCTCCTGGATTTACTCCACTCTTTTCCTGATGGTAACCCAGACACATAACACCTAAACAAAACCAGAAAAGAGTTTTGGTTCTAATCTTGTTATGTACATTTAGCATAATTGTACACTGGAGGTAATGTCAGTTTTCTAAAGTTGGGACATCAGTGGAGCTGATCCACTTGAGGTATCCCTTTATTCTTTTTTTTTCAACTTTCCCTGGATGTAGGGTAATTATTGCATGCCTAAAGACAAAAAGGATTCAACACAAGTGCCACGCAAAGTGTACAACAACATCACATCATCAGAAGTAGGTGGAATTTGATTGCAGGGCTGTCATTAAGAGCCAGAGGAGCCATGGCTACTATGAATGTGGCCCCTGGCTACTTTCATTGGACAGTAGAAGAAAAATAGCACCTAAAGAAATCCAAAGCTGTTAGATTCTCCACCTACTTCTTGTTTACCCAGCAACTTGAAATATTAGTGACAGTGCTGTGATTGTCCAGGTAAGTGTAGCCCTGAATTAATTATAGGACTGTTGTTGACAGTAACTGATGTTTTGACAACTGTGTGTAATACTCATCTTCAGAGTCAAAATGAGTTGTTTCTTGTTAGTTGATGGTATTTACCTCTCATTATTTTGCCTGACTGGTCAATTAAGTCATGATGTTATTGTTCATCTAGCTGTCATTTGAGCCCTGATGGTATTGGCTATGGAGACTCAAAATGTGAGTTGCACACCTTGATCCATCTTTTGTCAAAGTAACTAATACAACAGTCGTTTTATTTTTAGGCAAATTGTTGGTTTGTCCAGTCACTATTGTTGTTTGTTTTGGTTGGGTTCATCAATATCAGTAAGTCATAGGTATAAAGGCGCAGGTAATTGCTGACTTCTATTCAATGGTGTTTGTTTGAAGTTAGTAAACCAGCTTTCTATGAATTAAGTGGTTTGTTAGTAGTAGTTTGTAGGATATATAGTGCATTTAGCATTGTCCCAGTTTATACGAGGGTTCGTCTGTAATTGCTTTGTTGGCCTCAATATTTCTTGTCATTCGTTTGTGTTCAGCCAGTCGCATGCTCAGGTTTCTTCCAGTCTCACCAACAGAAGTGGACTAGCAGTTGCAGTATCTGATCTACACTGCTCCCTGTCTGTCCTCTGGTCTGTCTTTAGTTGTAAACAGTCTTCTGAAGGTGCTTATCGCTGTTGTGTTATCAGTAAGTTTGTTGAATGCGTGCAATAGTTTCAGATCTAGATGTGCCTCAAATGTAAGGGATAGTCACTGTCATAACAGCAGTAATGTTTTCAGCTGGCTGAGGAATGATAAAATCGGAAAAAAGGTTTTCTCACACATATCTACAAGTCTGGATGCTAGTCTGCAGGGGGTCTGGTCACACATGCGTTGGTTGTACTGGTTGTAATGATCTCCCACATAATGCAGTGTGTAATAGATCTGTTGCTATTAAATATATGATTTAGTGTGCACGATTACATTTATCGTGCTTAGCCCTTCCCTTTAACATCATTCACTCATAACATGAATGTTCCTACCCTATATCATTGTTATTTGAGCAAAATCCAAATGTAATCATCAAGTTGTCTTCTGCGACATGTATGTTTATTGTATACCGTTGGCCATGAGGTATCAATACTCCTTGAACATCAGCTACAAACAAAGAAAATAAATTTTTGTGTTAAATAAAAAAACTAATTTTCACTTTCTAGATTTGCCTAATGTAACTTTATCAACTGCTATTCATTAATGCAAGATGAGCCCCAAATGAGTTTAACTTGTTAGAGGAAATGTTATGTAGGCATCATTGCTTTGGCTGGGGCTTTAGTCACAATAAAAGGTAGTGTGCAACAAAAATCACCCCACCTTCTTTCTCACTTGAATACTTCTTGTTGTAGGTTTGTTTATGTTTGGGATACAAACTCCAGAAGAATTTTGTACAAACTACCAGGACATGATGGATCAGTAAACGATGTTGACTTTCACCCAAATGAACTAATTTGTGAGTATATTCAAGAATTTAATTTGTAAGCAATTTATAAATTCACAAAATTCTTGAAACTTGTAATCCTTTTATTCATTAAAAGGAAGCTTACAATCACTGTTTCGAAGAATTACTATTAACTGTGTGTTTTTTTGTTTACCTATAGTGATGTCTTGTGGAAGTGACAAGAAAATTTATCTAGGAGAGTTACAACCCTAAAAGGATGGCCTGGACATAAGAAACAGTTAACCATACTTAAGTGTTTAATAAATAACACTTGAAGCAGCTTTCTCTAGCTGTTTGTGTAGCTGCTATGTAAACTACATAAATTGGGACCCAAAAGAACTTAAGTTTCATTGAGACTTTAAATGATTATTTGGAAAAAAACATGGGTCAGAAGAAGGTTTGAAGACAGTGATGACTTCAGTTCATATGGCCGTCTGAGTCACTCCCTTGTTTGCTCAATTTGGTCAATGACATATCAATTTCTCACCCAACTGATTAACTCAGCTACAGAAGACCTAGGTTAGTAACTAAAGACCATGTGTAATAAAATACTTTTTTTATTCAAAATGTTTACACTTGTCATCACATGTTAAATTTTAAACAGTTCAGTTGGTAAACCTTTGTTATTGAATCCTGTCCATTCAGCGGGCTTATTTTAGGACAACTTTTGTACAGTGTCTGTAAATAATACTATTAAAGCTCTTTTTTCTTCGCTCTTTGCGATGCAGTACCTCCTTGCTTTTCATTGTAACAAAATACAAATAAAACACGCAATTTTAATTAACAAATTTCTTTGTCTTATAATGTTTGTTTTTTTCTAAAACTATATTCTGCCTGCAGAAATAAAAATAATAATGTCATTGGGAGGTTACCATTTTTTTTTTCCCTGCAAGTTTATGGCTACTATTATCCACTCCACAAACCACAGGTATACCAGTACTCACAAGGAACTTTAAAGGCAGAATGATTTTTGGAATTATGCGAGTAAACAATACTGGCAGTGGGTGGTTATTAGTTGCCTTTGGATACCACTGACCAGTCACATAGTTGTCCAACCAAATGATCTCAAAAATCATTGTGCCAAAATCTTATGATGTCACTCGTGTTGAGTGAATGCACAAAAGCCCTGCTCCTGCAGGACAGCTAGCTGCCAATAGGACCCACTCTGTACCAGTAATAAATTTGCTTGGATTTAAACCAGCTGTAACTATTATCAAACACCAGCTCATACTCTCCTTTATCAACCAGAACCTGAAAATAAATCAAAAATAGGACAAAAATATTATTGGCTTCACCTGTAAATGGAAACTTGTAACCCAAATTAAGATTTTGTCATTCACTCAAGTAAAAGTAAAACTACAGCCTAGGACTCTAGGGTTAAATATGGTTCATATATCAACCAGAAACATTGCTTTTGTCATTGTAACTTACCATTGTTAGCAACACCATAACCCCATTAATATAACACCCTAAGTTTGATGACATTCAAATTTATAATATTGATTTGGAATCAGACAAAGAATAAGCATGTCAAGTATCAGTAGTTACGTTTCCTGAGAGTATATCATTCACTATTTCATGGGCCACTATTAAAATTGATGGGGTTGGAGGGTGATGGGAGCTCTAACTACAGCAGTCCCTGTAAGGACCAAAGCAAGATAGATCTAATGCAAAACCCCTAACAGTGACTGTTAGTGGTCTTTGAAATACCAACCTTCCCTGTGACCGGTTCTAAATGTGAATTGAGCCTCCTGGATTTACTCCACTCTTTTCCTGATGGTAACCCAGACACATAACACCTAAACAAAACCAGAAAAGAGTTTTGGTTCTAATCTTGTTATGTACATTTAGCATAATTGTACACTGGAGGTAATGTCAGTTTTCTAAAGTTGGGACATCAGTGGAGCTGATCCACTTGAGGTATCCCTTTATTCTTTTTTTTTCAACTTTCCCTGGATGTAGGGTAATTATTGCATGCCTAAAGACAAAAAGGATTCAACACAAGTGCCACGCAAAGTGTACAACAACATCACATCATCAGAAGTAGGTGGAATATGATTGCAGGGCTGTCATTAAGAGCCAGAGGAGCCATGGCTACTATGAATGTGGCCCGTGGCTACTTTCATTGGACAGTAGAAGAAAAATAGCACCTAAAGAAATCCAAAGCTGTTAGATTCTCCACCTACTTCTTGTTTACCCAGCAACTTGAAATATTAGTGACAGTGCTGTGATTGTCCAGGTAAGTGTAGCCCTGAATTAATTATAGGACTGTTGTTGACAGTAACTGATGTTTTGACAACTGTGTGTAATACTCATCTTCAGAGTCAAAATGAGTTGTTTCTTGTTAGTTGATGGTATTTACCTCTCATTATTTTGCCTGACTGGTCAATTAAGTCATGATGTTATTGTTCATCTAGCTGTCATTTGAGCCCTGATGGTATTGGCTATGGAGACTCAAAATGTGAGTTGCACACCTTGATCCATCTTTTGTCAAAGTAACTAATACAACAGTCGTTTTATTTTTAGGCAAATTGTTGGTTTGTCCAGTCACTATTGTTGTTTGTTTTGGTTGGGTTCATCAATATCAGTAAGTCATAGGTATAAAGGCGCAGGTAATTGCTGACTTCTATTCAATGGTGTTTGTTTGAAGTTAGTAAACCAGCTTTCTATGAATTAAGTGGTTTGTTAGTAGTAGTTTGTAGGATATATAGTGCATTTAGCATTGTCCCAGTTTATACGAGGGTTCGTCTGTAATTGCTTTGTTGGCCTCAATATTTCTTGTCATTCGTTTGTGTTCAGCCAGTCGCATGCTCAGGTTTCTTCCAGTCTCACCAACAGAAGTGGACTAGCAGTTGCAGTATCTGATCTACACTGCTCCCTGTCTGTCCTCTGGTCTGTCTTTAGTTGTAAACAGTCTTCTGAAGGTGCTTATCGCTGTTGTGTTATCAGTAAGTTTGTTGAATGCGTGCAATAGTTTCAGATCTAGATGTGCCTCAAATGTAAGGGATAGTCACTGTCATAACAGCAGTAATGTTTTCAGCTGGCTGAGGAATGATAAAATCGGAAAAAAGGTTTTCTCACACATATCTACAAGTCTGGATGCTAGTCTGCAGGGGGTCTGGTCACACATGCGTTGGTTGTACTGGTTGTAATGATCTCCCACATAATGCAGTGTGTAATAGATCTGTTGCTATTAAATATATGATTTAGTGTGCACGATTACATTTATCGTGCTTAGCCCTTCCCTTTAACATCATTCACTCATAACATGAATGTTCCTACCCTATATCATTGTTATTTGAGCAAAATCCAAATGTAATCATCAAGTTGTCTTCTGCGACATGTATGTTTATTGTATACCGTTGGCCATGAGGTATCAATACTCCTTGAACATCAGCTACAAACAAAGAAAATAAATTTTTGTGTTAAATAAAAAAACTAATTTTCACTTTCTAGATTTGCCTAATGTAACTTTATCAACTGCTATTCATTCATTGTGACATACCATCATTTCTTTTATGATGAGACATCCTCCCCTTAGCATCTAGAGTTCCCTGCAAAGGACAATGCAGGAGGAACTTGTTATGTTTACCACCCATGCTTGACGTACATCTGTGAACTTCTTATGATGGACAGAGCTCAAAGATTCATGGTTAGGGCCACCAAAACATAAAATTTAATTATGAACATACCTCTATTATCTTTCGTATCCTTGCAACATTTAAAGCTTGCTGCCAAGCAAACATATTGACTGCCCACTTTGGAATCCATCCTTTTGGATCAGCTTGGATAACATAAGTCACCTGACAGCAAAAGGAATATTTGATCCTTCCTTTTTTTAAGAAATACTTGTAAAGACTGTGACTACCAGCAAAAATAATAATGGTCATATGCTTAAATAATTACCTTGAAAAAGTATTACTATAACCTAGTAATGGAAAAGAATTCACATAGATCAAGGAATTTTAAATTAGCTAATGCCAATGTCATTTCCTTGAATCACCATCAGTCTGTATTTCAGTATACACTGTCACCATAAGTGACAATCAAGATTTGGTAATTGCTTATATGAGACAGGAAGTTGTCACTAGCTACAGGTTCATTATTAACTACGGTCTGTACAGTCCTAAATACGAAAACTATTTTCGTTTTTTTTTTAATTTTATTATTATTTTTTTAATACATGCACTATACGTAGTCATATGCACCTCACCACATTAAAATTGTAATATAAGACTGAGGTGGTTATATTACATGTGTACATTTCAACAATTTTAAATCAGTCCTGAAATTTGTGAATTTAAACTTCCCCCGAACATCCCCGAACTATGTCAAAACTTAATGTGGAAATAGAGGTCTAGAGGTACCTACATCCATATATCCTGGATCATTTTGCCGACGTTTAAACACGTATCCAGTGCATGAGATCTCAGCCCTGACAAGTTTGTGATTCTCCAAAGTAGGACATTCTGGTCTGGTTATTGATGATCCCTAATAAAAGTGTTATGACCAGAATTAAATTCACTGAAGGTGTCCTGTAAGCATAGGTTCGATTTTCATGATGCTGCAGTTTTATACTAGCAGTAATTTTTTTCAACTACTGTCGGCTTGGACAAATTTGTAATGAGAATTTCATTAAAAGCACTGATTTGATTTATTTAATGATATCGACTTCTGCTTAGGAAGCCATTAAATGTTTCCAACTTAGCTTACGAATGTACTAGTACGCTAAAAACTGAAGTCACTGTTGTCAACTCTCCTGGAGAGTCTGGGGGACTCCAGATTTTGGACCGTATCTCCCTGTCTCCAGATTTGAGTATGAAATCTCCCAGATAATCACTGAAGTTTGCCATCTCTTCATTAGAATCCAGGTAGACAATAAAATTTCAACTATTTTGTATTTTTTTATCTTTTTTCCTGTTAACATCAAATGTTTCAGTATCAAATGTTTACCATCGTAATTTCAGAAATAATGTGATTGGTGGGAAGTAAACCAATCAAGTCAAATGTTACAAGGCCAACAACATCTTTTTCACGCGTCTTGTGTCATCACAAATTTGTGATGAACGGGTATTTTTTTCATAAATGATGTCATCAGCAGTGCATTATGACATCATCTTTCATCCCTTCCCTATCAATTCTCAATATTTGAAGATGTGGGGGGTTGACAGCCCTGTGAAGTGCTCAAATAAAAGAATGCTTTACTTTAAGTTTAACAGCAATAAATTGGCAGCTACTTGACTGTATTGTAATTCATACCACTCCAAAGCCAAGCTCATTGCCTGCTTCATCATGAATAATATCAGCATATTCCAGCCAACACACATCTCTCTCCCACACTGGTCCAGGACTTCCCATAATTGCCCACTTAATACAGTAAAATGGAAGCTCAGGGGCATTGTAACCTTCTGGAAACTGATGAAGTACCATTCCATCCTGAAAATGTACATCTGAAGAACACATTACATGATCAATACATTAAGTCGTACATTCAAGTCATCAGCAATCATATTTATTTGTTTTTCATTTTTTTTTACTGACGGTATTCGGTAAAAAGTCATAACAGCAAATCCTTCAAGGCATCGTGGTACCGCTAATTTTTGTGCTCTGCTGTCATTAGGTCATTACAATACACAAAACAAACAAGAGTATTAGCTACAAAGGTCAATAAAAGTTAAGTCTTTTATAGGCATAGTCATGGAAAATGATCACACAATTTCTGACAGTTATATTGTTGTTGCATCCAATGACAATGAGTCATTTAGTTAATAAAATTGTTAATTGCTTCACTGTTCCTGGGAAGTGAGGGGGGGGGGAGGGGGCAGTAGGTTCAGATTTCAAGTGATGGGGATGATTGAATGGGGGCAAAAATAAAAAACCAAAAAAAATTCTTGGGCTTACTACAACCCCCCATGCCAACTTTCTGTTGTACTTTACTTGGTTGCACTTTGCGGCTGAGATATGCTGGCACTACGATGAATCTTCAGATTGTTTGAATACCAAAAAAATCCCTACTTAAATCAAGCTGTACCCCCAAAAATACTTGCCGAATTATTTTCCTAACCAAAAAAAATCCTGAAATCGAAAATTTCAACCCCCAAATAATCCTTTCTGTCACTGTCACTTTAAATCTGGAGTACCCCTCTTGGGTCACTGTTGAACTGCCAAAATAACAATCTAATAGCATCTGCTTATATACTTGAAATAAATAAACAAGCTAGATGGATCAACCTTTTTTAAGTAAGCATAGCAGCTAGATTATTAATGTGGTATTAGCATTCTGTTGTTGTCAAACTAGTTTTTCTGGAAATACCAATTTTTCTTATGGTAATTGCTCCCCCCAAAGTCTCACTCAATAATCTCCTGAAATTTTTTTCGTTGCTGCTTTGACAATAAAGAGTGTAGTATGTATATAAAATTATGCAATTTTGAGGACTAATGACTCACTGGTAGCTACATTTTTGCAAGGAAAGAGAAGAGGAGGGATGGTGATGGTGAAAATCATTAGATGCAGATGTTATTTTACGTCCTTGATGGATCAACAATATTTTTCCTCTATTTATACTCTCATAACATTGTACACAGAAGCAAAGGAAAATATACTTTGAACAAGTGAAAAATTTGTACTGCAACAAACCCAATACTATTAAATGTAACAAGCATGACCAGCTACTAATGGTCACAAAATCTCAATGTAAAAGCATCTGATGTGATTATTTATAATTGTACCAATCATATGAAAAAGACGACGAAAACTCTCGGTGGTCGGTGCTATCATGAGTGCTCTCGCTTCTTCTTTTGATGTCTTTACTCTGGTGGTTCCCCGGATCAGATGAATCTAAAGACAAATTAAAGAACAGATTGAATAAGAACAGTGCCTTAGGGCTACCTTAAACTTGATGATACTTGTATACATGTGCTGCAAATTAATGATGATGTAGTCCTAAGATTATCTAAAAGAGGCAAAGTTTTGCTCTGATGACTGAGTTTCACAGTACCATTCTGTTTTAATAATTTTTGCTTTTAAAATTCACCTGTGTATTCTGTTTACTAAATAATACCAAGAAAACACACTCCAAATTATTAAAAATAGATAAAGTTTTGACAGATATTAGTTGCCTGTGTCAAAATATTCACTTTGGTATTGAGTCAGACACTTATTGCTGATTTTCATCAGGTGATGATGTATACGATTATAAGTATCATTCAGAACAGCTATCAGTATATATATTGTGGTTCAATTTTATCCTTGGTTCAAATTTTATTTCCCTTTGTTTTCCGGTGCGGTAATGTATGAGGATGAATTTAAAACAAAGGGAAGTAAAATTTCAAGCAAGAATAAAACTGAATGGCAACATACACTCTCAGTGATCTTGGTGTTTCAAGCAACCTGATTGGTTGGCTATCTCGGAGTCCTATGACATGCTAGGTAGTGAATATAAAATAAAACTCAATTGCTGGAGTGATTGAAAAGCACAAGAAGGCCTTAAGCGATGATTCTTTTTTCAATGCTCAAAGTAAAGTTTACAACAACAGAGGAGAACAAGGTCATGATCATTTTAGCTAAATGCCAACAAAGTTTTGAATACCTGACTACCAGGTACTGTTCCTTGGTAAATATCAACACCATTCTTTGTGCAGACATACTCAAATCCCTGAGAAAAAAAGTCAAACACAAAAAATACAAAAAAGTGTGACAATACCAACAATCAGTTGAGATACATTGCCCTAAAGGGTCTCCCTATAATGTTAAAACCAAATAAAAATTTTGAGCACTTTCCATGCCACATTGTACCACTGTTTAAGCTACCTGTAAAAAAAAAACGAACACTCAAACTTTGATCGGAGGAGAGAGGGGAGGGGTGTGGATTGTTTTGTTCTCTGGAAGAAACCCCATTTGAGGACATGCACTCAACAATTTTGTCGCCGATTGAAGAAATGATCATTAAATAATATTTTAATAATTATGATGTAAGTTCAAGAATTTTAAGACAGTTCAAAATTAAGTTTCTGTTTATTTTAAAGCCACAAGTGAGGCTTTCCAAAGATTGATCAAATTTATTCTTAAGACGATGTTAAGCATTTTTAAGATCCCAAAGGTTTTTAAAGATTTGCTACAGTGAATTAGACTACGAGTAGTCCCCATTTTTCCTCAGGGATAGTAGAGTGAGCGAAATGCAAGCTTGCACGCGTGAAAATCACCCCACGTAAGAAAGGCGAGACCCAGCGGTGGGAGAGAAAAATGAGGGACTACAGACAAAGCCCAAGCTTTTGACCTCATGTGTTGCTCTCACAATGCAAAACTCTGATTGGTTCTTCCATGGAAATCTGTCAACATCTGTCAAAAACGCGTCAGCCACTATTAACACTCAACATAATCACATTTTACTGAACAAATAACTGGAGGAGAACAAATAACAGCACAGAACAAATAACTAGAGTTGCTTTTGTAGAAGCAAATAAGCAGAATTAAGCCAACCCGGCAACTGATGAAGTTTGCATGGAGAACTGAATTCATTGTCTTGCCTAAGGCTGTTAATTAAGCATATTAAAAAGGTATCACCAAGGGAGGAACTACATACGCGCTCCAGTCCAAAGACTCACATTATCCTTAGAAAAACAAGCAGGAGTTAAAACTCATTCCTTTGAGAGCAATCATGACTGAGTCACATCGCAATTCTTCATCATTAATGTAGCTTTGATCAGTTTAAGCTGCAATCCATTCTTCAAGATTTGGATCTATAAATCACTATCTGTAAGAATTTAACATCCTGCTAAAAATGCTAACGAGCTGGCCCCAGCGTGACAAAACATTGCAGGAAACCGTCACTTTCACAGACAAAAAGAAAATTGCTTATAATTATTCAGATCCAGGAGGCACTTTGCCAAAGAAATTAAACAACCCAAAACCCTTATTAATTTAGCCACATTGAAGAGCTTTACTTATCAAAAGAGGTCAAATAAAATGC